TGTCCGGGATCACTTACGCGCACTAAAAAGCGAAAAGGGCTTCAAGGTAGTTCTGAGAGGCGTCGAGGATGTGAAAGTTGACCTGGAATCTCAGGGCTACCATTCGGTGCGGGTAAACTGCATGCGGAAAAGCCAAAAGAACCCGGATATGGTTGTGGTCGTTGTTCCCCGAGGGGAATCAAAAATTTATTCCGTGTCCAGAGTTGCAGCCTTGTTGTGAAACCGGAACCGCAGCAACACATGAAATGTTCCGACACTTCCAGACTGCCGGTCCCAGTGACCCCACCGGCCGAGGAGGCGGAGGGCGAGGCGACGGAAACTCCAGAAATGGAGGTGGAAGTCGTCGAGGGCGAACCACAGGTTTCTGACACTCTCCCACGCCTGCCGTCAGACTCGGATGAAGATGGAGGGCGTTAAAAAGGTCGAGCGACGTAAGTTTCGCAAGCGACCGAAGCACTCAACGTCAGAATCAGAGTCGACCGACGGCGAAACCAGCGGTGAGGAAACGCGGCTGAAGGGGAAAGCTGGAGGGAAAACTGCGACACCCACTGCAAAGTCGGAGATTCTCCGCACTCACGAGTGCAACAACAGTTGTTAAAAGCAAAAAACATCGCTTCAAGCAGGCGAAAACGACTAAGGATGGCATCCGAATAATGCCCACTTCCGCGCACTGACGGCGGCTTTCGATGAAGCCAAACTTTCTTATCACTCCTTCGCCTCGAAGAGCGAGAAGGGCTTAAAAGTAGTCCTGAAAGGGGTCGATCGAAACATCCCCACCGAAGACGTGAAGGTTGAACTCGAAACTCAGGGCTACCATCCGGTGCGGGTAAACCACATGCGGAAGAGCCAAAAGAACCTGGACATGGTTGTGATCGAGGTGTCCCGAGAGGAATCAACGATCTATTCCGTGTCCAGGGCGTGCGGCCTAGGTATAAAACCGGCTACTGAACATGTGGATCCATTTTCCTCAAAATGAGCAGGAAAGAAAATTGGTTTCAGAAAGGTATAGTTATAGTTAGTACAGTTAACTTTAACCCCAAAAGACTGGTAGTTTGGGAACTTAAACTTTGTGTACATGCGCGGCCTTTGACGCATGAGCAGTAGAACCTGCATCAACTGTCATCACTGAGTTTGTTTTCGTTTCGTAACGTGTTTGCATTCGTGCACTAAATTTTACCGGCGAGGGAAAAAGGTTAGTGTCACAATTAGTGCACAAATACCGACATATCGTTCGACGGTTCTTCGAAGGTCGAAAAGGACCAAACGTGGGCAGTCATTACCTAGAAATTTAATGCTCAATCGCCATTCCTGGTTAAGTTTTTATGATAATCAAAAATAGACGCCCAAGAAAATTATAATAGAAGACGGACAAGTGGTGGTCCCGGAGATATAAAACCTGCTGCTCAGTTGCAGGGCTTACCATTGTCAATAATAAATTTAAAAACCGTGGTGCAAATTCGTCGATCGAAGACGCCCTGCTCTTAGTACGTCAGTAAATCTGACGAAATCATACGAGGATTTGTCCCAAGTAAAAAATAAGTTTAAAAACGTTCAGTCAATTCTTTCGCAGAAACAGTTGGAAGAAGAAACCGAAAAATTTACTCACCAAAAATGTGTCAGGCAGGTGAAAAAGCAGCTTTTGCAGGCACAGCTACAAAGAACTTCAAAAAGAATATCTTCTTTAACCTCTGCTTGCAGCGATTCGGAAATCTTATAGATTTGTAAACTATTGAGTATTTTACTATACCAAGGAAACAAGCGCTTCGGAAGCAGCTAAGGCAAGCCAAAAAAAAAGTCGCACAAATTCAGACTCTGAAGAAGAAACTACACAGTTTAATAGCTTGCATGATAAACTTTTACCGCAAAATTTAGCGGCATTGGTTAAGACACAAGTTAAACTTCATTGGAAAACGAAGAAACAACTGAGGTTCTCTCAGGAATATAAGCAATTTGCCATTACAATATTTTTTTATCTCCTATGGCATGTCGGTTTTTAAGAACTACATTTTTCCTTACCACTATCCGCACATTGCGGAAAACCAATGAGAAAATTAATATTAACCCAGGCACTGTGCATTAATAGAAATTCGCTTAATACAAAGAGGAAGATTGAAAAAGAAAATGACTGACCAATGTACAATTGGGGATGCCAAAGTAACTTATGTGGTTAGTGCAATGTGCAATAAAACATATAATGGGACTGTAGTCATTGAGAGGATTGGAAATGATTTTGTAATTTTTACGTTCTGGGGGCAAAAGACTTGTGATCGTGCCATATGGGCAAATAGTAAGTCACAGTATACAGAAGTATATGGTTATTGTGCAATTAGCAGAGGGTTATATAATGGAGAAATGCAGTTTCGAATTTTATAGTTGTAACCTACTTACAGGATTTCAAATAAATGCTACTGTATTGTTACCTCACGAAGTGGGTTTCAACCCGAGCCCAATAAAACTACGTTTACGACAAATTATATTATTAAAGGTATTACATACGATAAGCCAATCACTGTTAAAAAATGCGGAAGGGCACCTCTTCTCTCCCCAGCGTAGTCCAAGGCACCATCGATTAGTAGATCCCTGTTTAAACAGAGAACCTGTCTTAAGAAAGGTCATCTCAATTTCTCGTGGAAAAGGTGTAGTCGAAGCGAAAAGAAATTGAGATCTATACTTAAACCAACAGAAAAGCAGCTTCAGGCAGTTAAAAAATTATGCAAACAACGTGGAAAACAATTGTGACAAGTACGTCAAATTAAAGATATGGATAAAAATTCACTGATCAATAATCTTTTTGAAGGTTTACCTCCCGTTGTTGCCCAAGTTCGCTGGTCTGCGGAGGACAAACTCATCGCTCTTCTTTTGTTCAAACGTAGCCCTAGTTGTTATGCTCTTATGCGCCGCTTTCTTGCTTTACGTAATCGCAGTACCCTGACTGCCCTTCTTTCGCATTTTCCATTAAAGCCGGGGATTAATCTTAATTTATTCCAACACCTGCAATTAGTTCTCGCGAGCTGTCCCCCAAAAGATTCATTTTGTTCTCTAATGTTCGACGAAATGTATTCTCGAACATTTAAGAGTACGACTGAAGTGGTGACTGTTTTGTGGGATTGGAGAACTTAGGACGCCATGGCAGGTCTGCAAAGACCAGGTGTTGGAGGTAAATGGAAACAACCTCTGGCTTTCTATTTTTCACATGGCCCTGTTTCTTCAGATAAGTTTTTGTAGTAACCATGGTCTGAATGTGGTTAACTCGCATTTAAGACGTTGCAACGGAATCCCAACCTTTCTTCGTGCATCTTTTGCATGTTCGATCCTCCTCACCTTATTAAGTGCCTCCGTAACAATTTCCTTAAACACCCCATCCAAGTCCCAGTTTTAATTGAGGAGCACTTGTTGGAGGCTAAGGCCATTGACGATAGGAGCCCTATGGACTACCGCTCTTTGAAGAAGCTGATAGCTCCATTCTAAAGCGCACAAATATTGTGGGGGACGATTAATTTTAATCATTTTAGGTCGAGAGGAGCATGAGGTCGATCGGAGGAAATTAAAACATGTGGCAGAAAATAAACCATCACATGCTAAATACCACATCTCTAATCAGAAGAGTGTCGGCGGTGACACAATAAGCTTTTTAGCTACTGTTATACAAAAATAGTGGGATAAAAATACATAGTGTGTTACTTAAACACAAGTTGTGCCATCGCAGTTCAGCCGTTTTATGCGAAAAATGTCGCCATTGGATACGTTTTCGGTGTGAAAATATATCCCATGAAAATTTTCCAGAAAAATACAGTTTCGAAAAGTGTACATCCTCTAAGTCTAGTTTTTAGTCAAGATTTCCGTAGGTTAAGTCAAGTACGTATCAAATTGCTATATTGTATATTTGAAAAAGAACATTGTTAAAGGAGAAACCAATCCAGAAGTTTCATTCTTTCGATTGAGACGAAGGACCAGATTTAAGCAAGATTTGTTATTTTGGGCTACGAACCATGGTAGAAGGAAACATACAGTTGTTGCAGTCGTTTGTTATATGGGATCGTAGAATTTAGGTTTGTGGAGAGAACTGAGCATTGATATGTTAAAAACACCCAAGTGATGAGAGCAAATTGGTATTTGCATTTGCCGATGTCCCACATTTATTGAAATTGATACGAAACCACTTTATCGACAGCGGCTTCTGTATAAATAACGAAAACTGTAGCTAAAAATACATTGAAGATGCCATTGAAATTGGAAAAAAACAAAAACTTGCGAATTGGACATAAAGTTTTGTTAGATGTTAAAAACAAACAAGCTAAAAACTCGATTTGGAGATTTGGAGTTCTTTCACTTGATGAAATCTGTGAAAGAAAGAGAGAACAAATTTTTGAGATGATTAGAGATCTCACGGTGGATGAACCATCCGGTACACCAAAGGGAAAAGCACTCCGGAAAGAATCCGTATTGAGCCCATCGAAGTCGACGACTTCCGAGGGCTAACCAGACTAACGGACAACTTGAAGGTGCTATACCACACCTTCATCCTGCCCAGGGCCTGCCAAGTTGAGTGGGAAAATTTGAGCCGGTTTATCTATACCACTTCAATACACTTATAGACCCATAAGTCTGTCTTCGTTTCTATATCTCTCTCGTGTTATCATATTGGGCGTACATAAACCTATCCTTATGCTACAACTAAATCTCAAGGCAGATGGCTCTGCAGTCGCAAAATTTCTGTCAACTTGTAACACATTTGAAAATTGAAAGAAAACAACTGCCGGACGCCATCCGCCATTACAGATACCCCTACTTCTAACGATGTTCTGACGTATGTGTGACGCACGCACAGGTGTGACGCGCTGCGGCACATGAGCAATAACGGTAATAAATTTGCGCGATTTTGAATTTGAAAAATTTAAGTGTGTGAGTGCGAATACGTGTCGAACACCAACAAGAAGTAAATACCTACCGAAAATTATTTGAAGGGACGCCATGACGAGAAGGTAAAAAATTTTAGCTTTTTATTGCAAATTTAAATAAAACAAATAATGTATTATTGTTGTAGATATTGTATTATTTGTGGCAACAACACAGAAAATGCGAAGGCACTGCATTGTTTTCCTCGATCGCTTGCTAGGTGAGTTTACAAACATTGAAGTATATTTAATTTAAAAATTATAAGTAAGAAAAAAAAAAGAAAAATTTAAAGCAAAATCATTTTAATTTTTAGATTACGTGAATGGGGAGAAGCACTAAAAATTGAGAATATAGAAAAAAAGTGAAAGCACACTGGAGAATTTGCAGTGAATACTTTTCCGCAAATTTTTACGCTAACAATTGGTCAGCAACTTTAAATCGAAATGCAGTACCTTCGCAATACATCCAAACTTCCGAGACTGAGGTACTAATTATTAAAGAAAAGAAAATAACTATTGTGTGAAATTTGCTTCGTTTTGTTTTTTGTATTAAATATTCATGTTTTTTAGATCATTGAAGAGAATGTGCTGCAGCCACCAACTGTGACACCCCCAGTTCTTCCGGTCGAACCGTTAATGGTACAAACTTATAATGTCTTTGTATGCAATAATTATTAATTGATCTTTGTTTCAGGTTACAGATGAAGACATACATTTTTCAACACCAATTAAAGTTCCCTCCACTCATCCTGTTCCATCGACATCAAAAGGAAGTGCTTCTCTGATGTATGATACTTCTATGCTCACTTCTTTGCATGAAACGCCTACTTCTTCTTGTTCTTCTATTAATTTTCGTCAAAATGCGACGATTTTGTCTACTAACGAGTCCAAAGCACCATCGATTAGTAGATCTTTGTTTAAGAAATGTGATCTCAATTTCTCGTGGAAAAGGTGTACTCCACGCGAAAAGAAATTGAGATCCATACTTAAATAAAAATTTTGATTTCTAGTTTCTGTTTTATTATTAAATAAAAATTATTGTGATATCCTCGCAGTTTCAATAATTTTTATTTAATATAAAGCAAGAGAATTAGAAGATTCCTTATTTATAATAATTTGTATGTCATCTCATTTTAATCATATTGTTAAGCTATTGTATAATAATTATATCAACAATACCACTGCTGTTAGATACCATTATATGTCTGCTATTAAATTTACTAATGACAAAAATTACGTGTGTTTTTATTACTTTTTTTTAAGTAGTAAAAACATATTTTGTATCATCATAACTTCTTAATTAAATTATTTTATTAACGTATAATAATATTGCATTATACGTTAGTAAAATAATTTAATTACGAAGTTATGATATACAAAATATGTTTTTACAATATTTTGAGAATGACTTTGAATCTCCCGCCAAAGGCGCCTACTCAACAAAATTTGAAATTTCCCACAGTTTCCCCTACTATCTTTCGTCTGGCCCTCTATATTTGTTACCTTCTACTAGTTTAAATTTTTACACGGGACTTGGCAGTCTGGAGGGGGTAGTCTGTGATCCTGCCGGAAGAAAAAAACCCTGAGGGTCATAATTCATGCCATCGCCAGCCAAGAAGTCCTCGAAGACTTGGAGCACCGGGGTTTCCAACCGATACAGGTCAACCGGATGAACCGCCGGGACCGCCAACTGCCCCTCGTCCTCGCCAAGATCACGATGTCGAAGAAAGCCGACACCTACGAAGACCATTTTCTTGACTCAGATTATGTAAGTCAAAAAAAAGAGGTTGTGTGTTGCTTCCACTAAACCACCTGGTTTAGTTTTAGAATTGGGTCATTCAAATAGAAAAACGGGTTTTCTAGGTTACTATTAGTCGATAATATAATAATTTTTTAGTTGTAGTGGATATCTATCTCGAAGATATCTTAACTATGTTGTGGAGAGAACATTTGGAATCTGGAAACGTAGATTTCCTGTGTTAAGGTGGGCATAAGGTCTCAGCTGAATTTAGCACAGAGAATTGTGGTGGCATGTGCCATTGTACATAACATTGCCTGTGAACAAAACGAAGAAGTTTTTGAAGGGGATGATGAAGAGCATCTGCCTATTGTACATGATGGTGAAGAAAATAACACTGGTGGTATTAAAGACAGTACCTATCACCATTAGAAAAATTTTGCAAAACAATTTATCTAGATTACAAATTTCCGTTTACAGAGCTATTAAAAAACGAGCATCAGCTACTACTATAGGAAAGAAGAATGGTGTGAACCTTGATTTAGAAAATTGTATTTTTCATGTATTAGGTCAACATCATAATTGCCAAAATACCACTGCTAGATAAGAATATCGTGAAAACGATATTAATTACATTAGAGATTTTAAACTGTGCGACCTTCTAACTCAGAAAGTGATAGTAGATAGTTCAATATACAATGTTAATAACAATCACGAGGAACGTTACAATTCGGTTGTTGTTAAATTTGTTGGCGGTAAAAGGTGTAATTTTATACAAAGAGATTCATACACTGCAAGCTGTGAAGTTGCAGTTGCGTCATATAGCAATCGAAGTGAGTTAGTTGTACAGAAATAAAAATATAATAATAAAAGTATGTGGTAAAAACCCAGGTCAATTTACAAAAAAAAAAATGCCCACAACATCGCCCGAAGTAGGAGAAAAACAAAAAATTCCGGACCCGATCTTGATTATGGCAGGCAAAATATAGTACTAGATATGGACGGTGCAGAATAAACAAATATTTTTTGACAGTTTACGAGCAAATATACACAATATAGAAACTGAAACAAGGAATCTGAATGAAAATATTAAATGACAACATGAAAGAATTTGACAGCCTCAAATTTTGGCAGAATTTGCAAGAGCGCCGTGCTCCGTTGCCTTCCTTCTAATCTTCCCAACCCTGCTTTTGAAGATATATTACGAAAGTGTGTGAAACGTCGAGCCCAAAAATTCACTTGACACGGAAAACGATCATAAATTAAAACAATGTAAAACCACATAACTGCCCTTCTTTTCCTTTTCCCAGTATTCTGGAACATTTAGAATACAATCCAAACAGCGACTGTTTTGTCGGATTTAAAAACCTAGGACACCGTGGTAGATCTGTAAAGACTGCAAACCATGCCCGGGTGTTTATGGTCCAAGGTGTCGGGAGGGCAACCTTTGGTTTTCTATTTTTCGCATGGTCCTACTTCTTCGGATAGGTTGAAACTGACACTGTATGACGTTTTTGACACTTGTAGTAATCATTGTCTGAATGTCGTAACCGGCATTTGAGACCTGGATACTACTAACGTCAAGACGTTTAAAAGTATGGGGACAACGGAGTCCCAACGCCTCTTCCTTTATAAAGACAAACGCATCTTTTGCATGTTTGATCCTCCTAACCTTATCAAATGCCTCCGTAACAACTGCCTAAACGAAGTAATAGTTGATTTTATTAATGCACAATTGAAAACTAGTTAAACAAAGCCAAAAGGGAGGCGATGGACAAGTAATGATAAAGTTTTTGCATTGTCGATGTATAAAAGAAGTCCTCGCCTATCTAGATATTTGCAGCATTATTTTAGGTTACCGTCTGTTAGAACTTTAAAAGATCCTTTGTCAGAAGTGTTATTTGAATGTGGAATGATTTAGCCAGGTTTTAAAAGAACAAGTGGAAAGTATGAACACGCTTGATCGTTGTTGTTCTTTAATGTTTGATGAAATATCTCTTTGTCCAGGGTTTCATTATGACCCTTGTAAACAAAGAATACGTGAATTCGAAGATCTTAAGACATTTAGGACGAAATGATAGTTCGGCTAACCATGCTCTCGTTTTTATGGTAAGGGGGATTAAAAAAAATACAAACAAGTTGTCGCATATGACCCTACCAGAGATGCGATTAAAACACCTAGTCTGAAACAGATCATTGTTGAAGTCATTAAACAATTACATTTGTCTATTTGGTCAGAGGCTTTACCTCAAATGAGAGATTGGAAAAACAGGAATTTAAAAACTCGTGAACTTCACCAAAGTTTAAATTTCCTGAAGGATAGCAAACTACCATCGAATCAATTAAATTCTTGTGCCAAAATTTAAAAGAGTTGGGCTGAAAGTACCTATTATTGAGGAACTTAAATCAGGACCCAATAGAGAATTTGTTTTGTCAATAAAGGGATTTGCCACAAAAATCCAACATGTTCCCAGTTTGTGGTCGCTTGAAACAATGTAGTGCTCAATAATTTCAGATCACCTATCTCTAGAGGTAGTAACTATCACGACGACCATTGCGCATCTTTAGGTAACTTAACCCAGTATTTGATTGAACATTGTTCTGATACTTTGAATTGGATAATATAAGTGCGTTGGTGTTAAACGAACAGAATCGGGCAAGTGCACATGTTGCTGGATATCTTAAAAAAAATGGTATTACGGATAGTGACACTTGCAAACAAAATTTGGCTTCTGAACCGAGCGCTAGTCATTTATTCATTAGCCACAAAGAGCGATACGTGAGATGTTTAATGTTTCCCAGTGACCGTTTGACACTATGATTTTTTGAATTAAAACGTACCATCAAAAAATTTGGGTTTCGCGAAAGCGATACAGCTGTTTCGTGCATGCCTGAAAAAAGAAATGTTGTAAGAATGCCCACTTAGCTTTTGATAATTCTATAGAGCAAGAAGCTAGGGGCAACACTAAATCGGAATTAGACGTTGAAAAACGTAGTGAAGTTCAAACTTTTAAAAAGTTTAATTTATAAAAATCAGTTAATTCAATTGTACGTGGAATTGTGGTGCACAAACGAAGACGCAGAAACAAGTCGAGTATAACTGAAAATAATATCGGTCAGTTAACTTTTAACGAACGTCCTGTGTATGACCTAGCTATTCCGATTATACTCGAGATAAGAAGGTGTGGTTAATTTCCTTTATATGGAAGAACATAAGAAATTACGGTATTAGGTAGAAAATTCTCAAAGAAATTTTCATTTAAAACGGCACAAAACCCCCACAATGGCGAAAGGTAAGATAAATTGCGAAAATACTGAATTGCTTAGGATGGCAGCTTCGCAATCAAAACAGACATCCAGAGCTATTCAATACTTGAAGTACAATTACTTGAAGTAGTACTTCAAGTACTTTAAGTACCTGGGGGTAAAAACAATTCGTTATTCATTTGTGCCTTCTTGAAGTGTACACACCAAAACTTCACCTACTCACCAGCAGTTTGCTATTTTATCTTCTATTTATTTAGGTACGTTATAGTTGTTATTTTGTATGTAGTTTGTTATAATTAGAAAAATGGTTGCCGAAAAAAGGACTTTCGGTGAATGTGCATACCAATCCCCGGCCGTCTAAAATTAGAGTTTTGGACAACATTTTGTTGGGGAGTGGTGCCAGTAGGAACACCATCCGCCGCAGGGCTCCATATTGCAGCAATGATTGAAAATTTTATCGAAAGCGTGGGGGGGACCAAGGTGTCTGAGGCTGTCGACAGAGTCGTCAAGGATCTGGTGGTGGAGGAACCGAGCCAGCTGGAGGAGGAGGAAAATAAAGACGCGCTTTTCAACGATGCTTTTGAAACCTACCAAAAGAACTCCGTTGCCGAAGAACGGCAAAGAGAAGAAAATCGGCACATACCCCGTGAAAGGGGTCAGCTCCTGTGCCCTAACACGTTTCAGCTGTCACCTTCTGATGGTGGTGGTTCTTCGGTAACTGTGGGGTTCAAGATGCCGATGGGAGAAGTTGTTTGCAGACTCTACAGCGGTACAAGGATAGTGTTTGAAGACTTCACACTCATCGAGTTTTCAAACAAAATGAAGAGGAAGGTGGCCGAGCTCTGCGATCAAGTGCTGGTTCGTCGAAGTTTGTGTACATTAAAGAATTATAG